GCGGCGGGCCGGGGCCGGGACCGGGCGGAGCAGCCGGCCGTGCCCCCCGGGACGGCGGGGCGAGCCCCGGGCGGCGCTCGGAGCCGGCGGCATGGTGGAAAACCCCAGCCTGGCGGCCAAACCCGCCCTGGTGAGGGACGGAGCGGCCGGAGGGGCTCCGGCGACGCGGGGGTGCATGGCGGGAGCGGGGCAGGGACACCCGCGTTGGACAGGGAGCGGGATCGGGGTTCCCGGTGGGAGCGGGAGGGGCGTCCCGAGAGGACGGGGCACCCGGTGAGACCTTCCGGAGGGATCGGGACGGGGTCCCCGGCGGGGACGGGCTCAGTAGGAGAGGGTTCCCCGTCGGGGCGGATGTCTCCGTTGGGACCGGGGAGGAAAGGGATCCTCGGTAGGACGCGGTTCCCAGTGGAACTGGGGCGGGAGTCCCGCCACGACATGGGTCCCCAGCGGGATGGAGGAAGGAGGCTCCTCGGGTCGGACCCGTGTCCGGTAGGAGCGGGGACGGCGTCCCCCGGAGGAGCGGGGATGTGGTAGCGGAGGTAGCCGGGTCCCCCGCGGGGCAGGGTGCCGGGGGTCCCGGCGAGGGAGGAAGCCCCTCCGGTGGCGGGAGCCGCGCCCGGCACGGCGACGGTTCTGCGGGCAACTTTTGGGCAAGGCCCCCGGGAGCGGCGGGGACAGCGGCTGGGGTGGGGGATGCTTCCTCCCCTCCCTCCTCCTCCTCCGGCTCCGGAGGCAGCGCTGAGGCCGTGCCCTGTGCCCGCAGCCGGCCGCCCCGCCGCGGGGGCCGGGGGCGGCGGGGGGGCTGCGCTTGGCGGCGGTGATGGAGAGCCTGCAGCGGCAGCGCGCCCGCCGCTCGCCGCTGCGGGGGAGGAGGAGGACGACGAGGAGGAGGAAGAGGAAGAGGAGGAAGAAGGGGAGCCCCGCGACCCACCGCCACCACCGCACCACGAGTGGACCTACGAGGAGCAGTTCAAGCAGGTAAGGAGGCATCACTGCGCCGGCACCGGCTGCTCCTGGCAGGCATCCCCGGTGTCCCCCCCATGGTCCCCAAACTCGGGTTCAGCTTTCCCTGAATGGACAACCCTTATGCTCCACACTGCTCCCAAAGCTTTTCTGCATCCCACCCTAATTGGGCGACACCACGCCCCAGCCCCGACCCACCCTGAGTAGACATCCCCCATATCCCCATTATTGCGATCCCACCTTAAATGAAACCCCACCAGTACTCACCCACTGCCCCCAAACCTCATCCTCCCCTAAATGGGTACCCCCAAATGCTCCTCACTTCCCCTCTTCCCAAGCCCTGTCCCACCCTATAGGCATCGTCATCATCTTATGTGCTCCCTATTTCCCTGCTACCAAACCCCATTTCAGCCCTGCTTCATGACCCCACCTCCTCGGTGTCCCCTGTGCCTGTCCACAGGCCCTGCATCATGATAGGGTGTCCAATGTCCAGGCATCTCCCTGTGCCCACCCTGATCTGTGCTCCATCCTGATGCTTTCTATAGTGGGTAAAACAGGCTGACCCCTGTCCACGGGGGTTTTGCAGAGATGAAAAAGGGCAATGGCTCTGGTGTCTAGTCACCCCAAAGAGATGGTGAGCTGTGGAGCGGAGTTCTTGTGTCTCTGGAAGGGCCAGGGTGTATTACACTTGGTCAGTGCAGCTCACTGATTTCTTTGTACTGGAGGAAGTCGCACATACACCCTGTCCCCTCATTCCTGGTGAGTGTAGGGGAGATCCTTTTGTGCGGAGAACATGGGGAAAGGGCTTCAGAAGCTCATGTAAAGGATGGAAGAAAAGTCTCCCTGTATTTAGTGCATGTGGATCTCATCTGAGCCGTGTTGTGCAAGCTCTGGTTTGCACACAGCGGGTGCCTCTGCATTCAAGGGTGTGGGCATGGAGTGCACAGCGCCAGGGCAGGTTTGTTGCTCCCTGTGCACTCAGCTTCCTTGTGCGGGAGAGAGAGGCATAGTGGGTGACAGGGAAAATGTGGTATGGGGCTAGAACAGACAGAGATGTCCCCAAACAGCTGTTGTGTGGCTTTTTAGGACGGTACTGCTCAGGGACAGGAGGACGAGGGCACTTCGATCTCATCCAGTTCTGGCAGGAGGGCAAGAGAACAGCAACAGGAACCCAAACTTTTTGCTGCTGTGGGGGCGGGCTGCTGCCTTTTCTGTTTCAAATTGCTCAACACGTTATTTTGGGGGGCCGGGGCTCATCCCCTGCCTACAAGGCAGCAGGTAGAGGGGCAGACAGGGCACGGGCAGCACATGCCTCCCGGCTGCGCCCAGGGATGCTGCCAGCGCCTGACACTGCCTTGAAGCAGCACGGGAAGGGCCAGGGTGGGTGCACTGCACAGGCCAAACAGCTCGTCCGGGAAGTGTTACATTACGCCCCGCTGCACAGAAAAAGGCTGACTGTCCGGTTCCTGGGGTCAGCCGGGAGGTGGGAAGCAGCTCCTCCCTCCCAGGGCGGCTAGGAAAGCATCCCCGGCATTTCTCGTCCTTCAGCCTCCCGCCCTGCCCCTGTCTGGGGCTGCCCGTGCTGCTTGTGCAGAGCAGGAATGTTGTGAATAGTGGGAGAGGGATGACAGGAGAGGTTGGGGTGCAGGATAAATCCTGCCACGGCTTCCCAGGGTGAGAGCTGGCTCATTTCTCTTTGGGTTTTTTCAACCCTGATTGGAAAAGTGATGGACCCCTCGCCTGTGTCTCCCACCTTGTGGTGTGTCCCAGCCAGCCCAGGGAACAACAGGATGTCCTTCTGCAGTTTGGAACAGGCTGCAGTGCCAGCTTGCTTTGGGGTCTGCAGGACGGCTGTCACTCCTGTCTCTCCCCTGAGATCATGCAGGAGGGGACATACCCCTGCCTGGGAGGGACATGTCCCTGCTGGATCCTCCCCAGGCTGCAGGGCTGTGGCTCACCCAGCCTGGGGAACAGGTTCTCCACTCTAAGTGGGGAGGGTGGCTGTGCTTCAGCTTTTGAAGGTTTCCCAGGGGTTGGGCTGTGATGCTGTGGGCGAGATGGAGGGGCAGTATGTGTCTGCTGGAAAGTTCTGGGGCAGTGGCAGTGTGGTTGTAAGGGCCCTCGAGGTGGAGAGAGATCCTTGTGGTAGCCAGAACTGTATTTTCCACCAGGACTCCCTGCTTGAAACTGCCCAAACCGTCATGCCATCATCCAGGGTAGGATTCAGGGTTTGTCCCTGCTCTCATCCTTCTGGACTGGGGGCACAGTTAAGTGAACAGAGACCACCAAATCCAGGCTGTTTTGCAGAAAGTGGGCAGAGAGAGACTTGCCCATCTCTTTGCACTGGGGAGGATGCCTTGATGGGGATGGGGTGGAAGGTTGGTGCAGGACCAGCTGGGGAAGGGTTTCCACACAGCACAGTGGTGCTAAAAATGGGAGCAGAGGAGGAGGTGGTTGTGGCAAAGCCCACAGGGTTAACAGGCAAATGCTGCTTTGCATGGAGGAGCTTTTGGGGGAAATATCCCACATGTATGCTGTAGTTTTATATGCTTCCGGAGGTGCTGGTTTGGGGAGGGGGGGCTGGTGAGACCTTTGCTCTGACTGGGAGGGCTGCTATAGTGTTACAAGGCTGAGAGACCCCCTCACCCCTGCCTCTTGCATCAGCCCCCGGCACCGGTTTATGTACATTGATAAGAACACATGGGTAGAGACCTGGGCAAAGGTCTGGGAGGTCTCCACACCCAGGCCTGTCAGGCAGATCCAGCCCTGAGGTGGGGGGCACCAAGTGGGGTGTGATTATGCATTAGCCATGAACCCTAAGGGCTGGGATGCCTCCAGGTTTTGATTCTGTGGTGCTGCATTATGTTTGATTTGGAGGGTACGGGTGAGAGCCTGGGGTTTCTGGTGCCAAGCTCAGCTCCATGAATTCAGCTTTCCCCCTAGGAAAACCATGCATATAGACAGGGATGGGTGCACTGGTTTCCTCCAAGTGATAGAAGAACAGCACCAGAACCCAGGGCTTTCTTCTCCATTCCCTGGGGTGGGAGGGACTCAAACATCTGGGCTTTGCATCCAGCTCTCTGTTAGCAGAGTGTTTGCTGGCAGGAGGATGCCCTCCCTGCCAGGGCCCCTCTGGCATGTTTGCAGCCATGTGTGACTGGGGGGATCAGGATCCTGATCTGAAGCTCCTTCCTCCCTTCTCAGGGAGGCAGGGGCTGAGCCCCAGCCAGCCCTTTAGGAGCTCCAGGGTGCCTGGTAGCCTCAGTGGTTAATTTGGGGGTGGCTGGTTTTGCCAGCAGCTGTTTGCCATTATCCTCAGCCTAACCCTGGAGTGGCTGTTCCTCCTGCCTTGCCTGTCCCTGATGCCAGGAGTTGCCTCTTGCACCCACCCACCTGTCCTTAAGGTGCATTTAGGGAGGACTTGCCAGCTGTGATGTGTGCACTCGCATCTCAGAGCCTGGAGGTGTGTGTGTCCCTGTAGACAAAGACCTTCTTGTGCCACAGAGGATCATCCCAAAATGAGTGGTGTGCATCCTCATACCTCTGTCCCCATTGCTTTCTCCTATGGTGTTGTCACTGGGGATGGAGGAAATAAGAGTCAGGAATGTTCAGAGAATGGAGGTGGCTGAAGAGGGGGACTCTGAGGAGAGGGCAGTGGTCTCCATGCCACAGCCCCCTCTTCACCATCAGTGCATCTTCAACCTAAGGGCAGGAGCAAGGGCTCCCAGGGCGAAATTAGAGGGTCTCTGTTTACACTGCAGAGTCAGGGAGGGAGAAATGGACACAGTGTGTTTGCCCCTATCCCTGTGTGCCTGGAGGCCTTTCTCCAGCAAACCTGTGAGCAGAGCTGTGCCCCTAATCTGGGACCACCTGCAGTGGGGAGGTGGCATCAGCAGCAAGGGTCAGTGTACCAGTCCCTGGAGCTCCAGGGCAGCCAGGAGCTCCTCCAGCTCTGGCAACCCAGCAGCAGTGGAGGGCACAGGATGGGACAGGGGGGCTGCTGAAGTGTGGCTGGAAGGACAAACAGAGGTGTTCTGGGGGGGTGTGTGCTCACAGACCAACCTGAGTGTGTGCATCTGTATAAATACACATGTAAATGTGGGGGTACATGGGTGTATGTGGACCCACCTGAGTGTAGCCCCTGTGTGTAGCAATCCTTGGGAGACCCTGTGTGTCTGTATGAATGCACGGGAGCATGCAGAGTGTGTGTGAACCCATGGAAGTGCTGGAATGTGTTTATGGGTCCATATGAGCATGCAGGTGTTCATGGATCCGTGTGGCTGTGGGTGTGTGTATGGCAGTGTGTGTGTGTGCCCACACGAGTCTGAACACACCCGTGTGCATGTACAGGCACACATGGGGTGTCCCAGTGTGTTTAGGCATCTGCATGCCCGTGCCAGTGTCACAATCTTGAATTGCATGGACCCACGGGTGCTTGAGGCAAGGTTTGAGAGCTAAGCCCCCTCCAAGTCTGCCTCTTGCCCAGCCCACAGTGCTGAGCACTCCTGGTAGTGCCAGTCACCTGCTCCCATTGCTGCCCCCAGGGCACTTCCTGGCCCTACTGGAGTCTGTGGGATGCTAACAGAGCCTCATAAGCTGCCACAACACTATCTTCCAGACGGGGGTCCAAAGGGTTTGGGAATGGGGCTCCAAAGAGGAGGTGTAAAAACTAGTTGTGGGTGTGAGATTACCCTCACTGTGGAGCGGAGAGGAGCACCATCAGGAGCTCACACTGAGGCTGCTTCCAGCTCCCTCCCCAGCTAATTCCCTGAAATCAGATGCCATTTGAGTATTTGGGGAGGATGCATCCCCTCATCAACTTGGGTCTCCAGTAATCCACTAATTGGGTTAATAATGGAGGTAAATCTCCTGTGCTGCCAGGCAGCTGGGCAGGTCTGCAGCAGGGAGATTGGATTTCGGGTGGTGGACTCTGGTCTCAAGGGGATGGATGGATGGATGTGCACAAGGATTGTGTGTGTATGTGAAGATTGTGTAGGGATGCATAAGTGTGGACA